CGGGGATGGGGTCGCCGGGGCTCCTGTTGGCGGACGTCTTGGGGCGGAGGACGACGTCGTCGCGCGCGCCGCGGGCTCGCGGACGAGGCGCGCCGCCGCGTGGATGAAGGCGCGGCCGTCCTGGTTGAAGGCGCGGACGTACGGGCCGACCTTGTTGCGGGCGATGGCGGCGGCGAGGCACTTGTAGCTCTCGGGGTTCATGTCGTTGGCCAGGACGAAGACGCCCTTGCGGCCCGAGGGGATGGCGAAGGGGCCGATGCCCGCCATGACGTCGGCGACGACCTCGCCCGGCTGGAACAGGCGGATCAGGCGCGAGTGCTCCGTCTCGAGCTTGCTGTTCCAGTAGACCTTGGAGTAGTCAAACTGGAACGTGCAGTCGTTCTCCTTGACCTCGACGTCCATGTCGTTGGGGCCGGCGAGGACCTCGTAGGCAAACGTGCGAAACTCGGACTCGGTGCCGACATTGTCCGTCTTGTTGATGACGGTGCGCAGCTTGGGGTTCTTGTCGAGGATGACTTGCGCAATGATGGACTTGTAGGGGAGGTACCGGTCGCGGAGGTTGAGATGAGCTGGTCTTCTCGTCAGCCGTACGTGGTGGAGGAGAGTGAGAGTGAGTGTTGAAGCATACCGATGTGACCGGCCGTGTTGAAACCGACGGGGATCTCTCCGTGAAGGTCTTCTGGGAGGATCGAGCTGATGACATCCACTGCCGAGGGGTGAGTTGGGATTCCATCATGAGAGCACGGGGGATCTGCTCACGGTACGACCAGTAATCGTAGTCGAGCTGAAGCTCATAGGGAATGACGGACACCTCCTGGGCCTCGACAGCCGCCTGCAGCAGAGGTCCCCATGTCGAAGGAGCTGTGAGCCCCGTCGTCAGCGACCATTTCCTGTCTCATGTCTCCCTCTGACCACAGGACGGCTCAACTCACCGTCAGCCTTGACACCCTCCTTCAGCAGGAGACACTTCTTGCCCGCCTCGACAGGATCAGGCTTGCAGGCGTTCAGCCTCTCCCACTCGAGCAGCTCACGGCCCTTGGTGAGCTGCTTTCGGAGGCGCGCAATGTTGCGGTTGTCCTGCACTGTGGCGGCGGCCAGACTGAGCGTCTTGGCGAAGAGGGATCTGTCCAGGGTCGTGGCGGCGCGCGCGAGGGGCGCGTGGAGCCGGAGCATGGTGCCTTTTGCCTGGGGTTCGTCGTGCTGGTGTTTGCGTTTTAGAGACTTGGTCATGGTCTTGCGGTTCTCCGGGACAACAGAAAATCAGAGCGGGAGGGGGGGGGATGCAACGAAAGGCCTGAGGCTGTCACGTACAGACATGGTGGGCGTCCGAGCTTTCGGCTGGGAGGTTTTGGGTCTGTATGAGTCGATCGATCGAGGGGTTCGCGGGCAGGGAAAAAGACGTGGATATTTTTGTCGTGGGTGTGGCTGATGTGGCGGGTGTAAACACGTGTGGCTGTGCATCAGCTCGAGTGGTGACGTCCATGTTGATGAGACGCCCATGTGCGACTGATGAGACAATCAACCACAAGACCTGTATCAAGTGGCCGACCTTTGGATGAATTTTTATTTCATCTAGATAACTTGCCCATTTCTGAGAGATATCGTAGGGTCATATACGGCTCGGAGACTGGCAGCGTCTGGACACACCATTTCCATCTAACATCGAGAAGTGCTTCACTTCAGTCCATCACCACCGCACGAAAGATCCATCCCATTCTCAAGATGGCTCAGAAAAGAACCCTCGATTCCTTCTTCACGCCCACCGCCAAAAAGGCACGTCCTGCCACCGCCCCAGATGAGCCTGTACGCCAAACCCACCCCCACCAACATATCCCAGCTGACCAACTCCAGACACACACTCGACTCATGAGCATTACCCGATCCCCATACTGGAC